AATTTAATTGCTTATTAGTCGACGACGTGTCGCGCAGGCTGCACCTTGAAATCCGTTTGGAAACAAGACGACCTTGAAAGTCGATCTCGGATCGTCGCGCGGACAGCACCGAGAGCTGGCTGTGTTCTCGATCGAGCCACAGTTCTCGATACGGCAATGCCTCAACGAGCGAGAAGCCGAACACGCTGTAAAACATATATTTAACGGTAGTCAGGTACCGTAGCGAGAGAGGATTGTAATCTTATACGCTCCAAGTGGTGGGTATCGGGTGTTGCCGTTTCAAACACGGCAGAATATTAATGACGAGCCGTTTTTCGAGACCCACCATCGCGGGGCTCGCGCCATAAAGATTCAAAAATCACCGATAGAGGATGCAGAACATCCTGATCCGAGAATTATCGCCGATTAGACGCACCGATAATTCCTCCGATAATTCTACCCGACAGCTTCTCTTCTTAATTATCGGTCCTGTAATACCTGCCTTTTCGTACTACCTGCCCGACTAATTATCATGCACGCGATCGTTTCATTTTTCAATATAACGCTACCGTGATTTACTATCCTACGGACGATGTTCACCTTGCTGCAACATGGACCTAATCCATGCTCCTACTTTCTTAGTCACCCTGTATCATTCTTCCCTGACCGTTATTCTGTCCTTATTAGTCCTTGCCTGAATTTCAGTCCAGCACTCGAGAATCTCCAGCTATTTCGAAGCCTCGATTTCCATCGCTAGAGTTCCAATATTTCAGAATAGACGATTAATATACATAATGAAAATTTTACGTCCACAAACGACCGATTCAACCTTTGATAGTTAATAGATCGACTCGAGTAGGAAACGTTAGATTTGCAACGGCGAACAGGTACCTTTCTAGTTTCGTTATTAGCATCTCCATCGCGGCTCTTTAAATATGGAAGATATTGAATAAGCCCCGGTTACGTGGAGGGGTTCTCGAGTGTCCGGATAAAGGATCGTTTCTTCGTTGAACCGTGGCGGTTTATGGTCGATCGCGAGTCGCCGATCAAATCGCAGGCCCGATATCCATTCGAGAGAGAGACAAGCACCGCCAGGATTATTCCGCGTGACTTCCGATCGGAATATAGTTTAGCGGGCCATTCTTTTCACTCCGAGACTTTCGCCGCGGCGCTGAGAGCTCGCCGAGCAATTTCTTCCCGATGATCGTTGGCCCCGAGCACCTCGATAATAAGGTGTCAACGTTCACGGACCCGGGTCTCGTGTCAGACCGCCGTTTCCGGGTTATGCTCGTGCGAACCCAAACAACCGACTCAATATTTCGATCCCTGTCTCGACGTCTGCGAACAATGACATTGCTGGATCGATGTGGATCAGAATTTTTTTCGGAGCATTGTAACTCGACGTGTTTCGAACATTTCAGTGTTGCACTTTGCTGCGGTAGATTTCAAAGCGTTGCAACGTTGCAAAATGTTACAGTACGTAGCAATGAAAATGATACATTTTCGGAGCGTGAAAATGATACAATTCGATGCGTTGTACTATCGTTGCAATTTCGGTTAGTTGTATCTCCATACGTAGCACTTCGGGCTGTACAAGTTGAGCGTTGCAAGTCAATGCAACTGGTTGCAATTTCAGCGTATCACAATTTACGTTGCAAGTCGGTTCGTTGCAACTTCAGCGCATATTTCGGAGGATCGCCATTCGAAAAGTTGAAATTCGACGCATCGTACCGTCTCACGTTCCAAAGCGTAGCATTTCGAAGCGTTGCACCTCAGCACAATTCAATTCAATTTGGCGCGCTGCATTCCTGCGCGCTGCATTTCGACGCGTTGCATTACAAAACATTTCCAATTTGACGCGTTTTATTTCGACGCGTAGATTTTCAATGCATTTCCATGTGTCGTAAAAACATGGTAATCCAATACGTGGGAACCCAACACGTGTAGCTACTCTAGAACGCTACTACACAGCGAATGATAATTCGAGCCGATGTAACCCGTAGGAGTTCCTTATCGTGAAAATCTCTGTACCTCCCGCTATTACATATGTCCGAATATTAAAAAAGGACCATAATCGCCCACAGAGTTTGCAACTCTTCCCGTTTCGATAATTTCAGTCCCACGGTGCAGGCGCAAAAATTAGCGGACGGCCCACACGTTCGTCGCAACTCGGTTCACCCCTGAAGGAGCACGTGTTGCGAGTAAACGCGTGTCGTGCGCGGTGAAACGCAGGCAACGAGTAGGTTGTTTTAAATGGCCACGGTGGTGGCAACGGCGGCGTAAAACCATCATTACCGTCAATTACAATAAATCCAGCGCCGTATTTCGCCGATCGTTTTTCCACGCGGAGGCGCGGCTTAATCTATAATCGGTCGAGCAGAGGTAACGGTGTTGTGCGTGCGTGGCTGAAACCGAACGAGGATGCAAAAAGGCGTGCTCGGCATGCACCGAATCGCTCTCGATCATTTTCCTTGGCTACACTTTCACGACTGATGATCGGGTAGCGTTTCAACGGCGATCGCCACGCTGTCGGCCGCGTCAGATTTACGCCACCCTGTGCGAGCGGTGGTGTCTCGATCTGCTCACTGAACACGATCTAATGCCAGCGCGCCCGATTATTGCCTACCTGTCACCGAACACGCTTCGAGTGGCATAATTTTCTTCCTAGACAAGTGGAATTGAAGATTCGCAGCTAACGACGCGCTACAAATTTCTAGACTGCTTGCTACTTTCTGTTGATTGTCTTTCTAGTCACATTGTAGGCATTTATTAGTTCTTTATTAATTATATAACCTGTTAATGTTTATAATTATCCTTTGAAGCGTGAACGGAGTGAATGAGGGTTGCAAGATGTGATGAGTGTTTGTTAAAAATCTCATAAATGCCGTGAATGTTCATTTAATTTATAACCAGTCTTATCTTCGAACTGCTAAAGACGTGCGTGTAATTTCTTAAAAGATTAATTAAATAATTAAATATTGTTTCGTTAATAAATGTTTCAATCAGTTAAAAGTACTACAACATATAGACTACTTCCTATCATAAATTTGAAATTTCTGAGCATCTCCCCAAACTTGACCAGTTTTTACATTCCGTAAGCTACTCGAATGATAAACAGTAAGTCGGAATAACTGAATGGAAAGGAACGACGGTGTTCCTGCCCAGCTTTCAATTTCGATCCCGAAGGTTTCAATTACGGTCGTTGAACAGCGTTCGCTGGCAAGCGAGCCGGGACACGCGTTTCGCCGCGGGGTTTACAAGTGTTTTTCCCTGGCCACGAGAGACGATTGCGCGTTCCGGCGCAGCGTGAAGCAACGTTATTGCAACGACGGGCGTGTAACCGTGCCTTTCGGCACAGGAATCGCGAAACACCGAACCGGCCGGGATCGTTTGTCAACTGACCCACCGGTAACTCGTGTACGAGCCACGTACTCGGATCCCACGAGTCGTGTTCCCCCGCGGACTGTCATCGATAAGGCGCGATCGATAAACGAGAGACAAATTCGCGCGGATATCACCCGCGTTACACCCACGCGAATTTCGTCTTGAGACAACGATCGAGCAGCACGGACGATTTCGAGTGTTCGGACCACGCGTTCCTTATAAATTCGCTGATAACAGTGAGTCCCTTTTCGTGTCGTCCTTTGGGCCGCTGCGGAAACTCGAAACCATAGGGATATCCAGGTGGATCCAGAAGCGAATCCACCAATTTCTACAATTCCAAGTCCCTAATATACATTTCCTAATGTATATAATTCTCTGCAGATCAAAGTCCTCGGTTAAAATTAATGCACCGTTTAAATGACGTATGGGAAGAACCGAAGTTGAGTAACAAATAAAAACTCCTCTAATAGAACTTTCAAATAAGCATCTTAATGCCCGTAATTAGTATCGCTTACATCACATGCTCGCTCTCTACTTTCGAGCGTTAAAATTCGCATCGGAGCCTTTTCCCCGATCCAGCCAATTTCCGTTCCCATGTGACGAACTCAGATCGTTTCGATGTTTACAAGAAATCGTTTTGTACCGGTATATACACGTGTACAATGGCGGTGGCGCGTGTAAATCATTGGACGACGGTTAAATTGGGCATCGTAAATCATGAAAGCCGCGGAAAAACGTGGCCGTACACGAGCCCGCGTTTACTCGTAACCGTGGAAATTACGTTTTAATCATCGGTACAAGTGCATTAAGAGCGGCGGCATAAATTACTGAGCGGAGAGGCCAGCTCGGAACCACCTCTATGTGTGTTGCAATTTGCTTTACTGCCGTGCATGCGGCAACCGTTTGTGGTTTGTATTCAAATGGTCGCTGTACGTTCCTTTTATACTCTCTTTGCCAGCTTAAGCACCGTTAGATTCGATACTACCGTATCCGCGTCGGGAGATCGATCTTATCGATAGTATCCACGATCGAATCTCTGTTATGAGTTACTACGGATATGTAGGGTTTTCGGATATAGGACATTTAATGATAGGACATTTAGTGAGAGGACATTTAGTGATAGGACGAGTCAGACATAGTAGTAAAGAGACGTAGGGACACAGGGAGATGCATCGAGGAATTTAGAAATTTGGAGATATTCCAAGATTCTAGGATTTAGGGTCCTAAAAATCTGCAGATTGGTGCATTGCCATGTAGAGATAAGGATCAAAGTCGAAGAAGTTTTCCAATCTCATATAATAACACCCGGTGCCATGAGCAAGAGCCACCTTCCTTTAACATCATAAATTTAACCCTTAAATGCATGATTTTCTAATTTTACCAAAAGTTATCAACTAACAAAATACCTTGAAAGCGGTTGATTCAAATTAAAACGAACAGATGACGCTATTGTGTATTTGATTGGTACGTTGCATATCTGCAACACTACTCATTGCAGGTTTCCTACATTTTGTATATAATTTATAAGATTAAAATTGGTATGTTGCATTTATACAACTATATGCATTTAAGGGTTAAGACATCGAAGGGAGTAATTTCTCGATGAAGAATTATACACAAATAAGCAAATAACTCACCCCAGGCAGAGATAAAGATGGCAGTGCTTCCCCTTCCTCGTCCCGACACTCTTCCTTTTCCTGCTCCACATCACCGTTCGATTCGATGACCACCGTTTCCGTCACTTCCGCTATCAAAGTGTCATTGGAATCGCACTTGTTCAAGTTCGTGTCCTCCGTAGTGAGGGTCTCGAGGGAGACCGCGTTCTTCTCGCATTCCGTTTTATTCGAGGGAGCTTCGTCCGCGGTGCACTGCTCGTTCATCGAGTCTTTGGCATCCTCGTACAGGGACGTCCGACTTCTTCTTCCCTCGTTTCTTCCCTCGTCGTCCGCTAACCTCGCCAGACCTTCGTCCGTAGTCTCGTCACGAACATCGTCCTTGCTAGGACTCGTTAAAGGATCGCTGTCCACCTGCGGACTCGAATTGTCCTCGTCCGCGGCGACAACAGAGACTTCTTCCGAGACCCTCTGGTCCGGGAATTCAGTCGGTTTCTCTGGAAAGACGTCCTCCTCCTGGTGGACTCGAGACTCGTCAAGGTACCACGAGGTGCAGTGCTCTTGACGTTTCTTCTCGATTGCCTCGTCACCTTTCGATAACGCACCTTTACACTTTCTTAGGTAGCTCTTTACTTTTTTCGTCTTGCTCTTCCTGGTCTCCTGAGTCCTCGGCAAAGTACCACTTTCCGGGTTCTCGGTGCTCTCGGGAGCTGCCTCTCCCACGATCCTCGAATGCGTGCTCTCATCTTGGGACGGTTTGGACTTTTGCTCGGTGAACTCCTCGAAGAAGGGACACGAGTCCTGGTCAGGAGCCAGCGTCCAGGTTTCCTCTTTCTCTGGACCGCGGCGCTCCGCCGGTATCACCTGAAACAAAAGTTATTTCATGAAATGGATGTGCTGGATACATGGTCAGTATAATACATCTCTCTCCTGTTATGTAATTTACAGAAATGGATTTTGCCAATTTGTTACCCCCAGCTTTCAGTGTTCTCTGCTCTCATTTGTTTGTCTGACAGCCATTTGGGATATTGGACGGGGTGTTTTTCAGTTTATTATACGTTGGAATTTTGCAAAAAAGGAACCGAATTTATGAGAGTGGTTTGTGGTGGTTTACGAGGGTAGTGGACTACGTCACTGTCAGATCGTCCCTAATCCTAAGATTATTCTTATTACGAACTCTGGAATGGCTTCCCCTTTGTTCCTGAATTTGTTACGTCACAAGTTCCCATTAGAACTTCTCGAGAAGTGATGTAAATATTAATTAAGCTGAAATTCGCGAAGAAATCGACAAACATCCCAAAGTATCCTAACAATGCTTTTCTAAGTAAATAGTAAGCAGCATCGACAATGGAGGCAATCCGTTTCGCAACTGGCCGATTAATTCTCGTTGATATACGATGGGAAAATCAGAAGCCGTTGAACGGAAGGAAAGAAAAGGATAAAAAAGAGCGGAGCGATCGAAGGCGAACGCAAACAGCGTGGCGAGTGGTCATTCAATTCCATTTCGCAAGAGCGAAGTTCCGCAGCTGGTAGCGCGGAGGTGCGGCGCGTAATACAACTGTATCAGCGGCTGTCCGACGAGGTTCAGCGCCGCATAAAACAATGGGCTTATAGTAAATATCGTGGACACGGCGCCGCGGCTAATATTAACCTCGAGCGGTGCATAACGATGATATTTTACGCTACGCTTCAGCACCACCTTCCCGGGCCGTGCCCATAAGAACACCGTGAATACAACTTCCCCGCGTAATATCTCCGATTTCATAATGCACGCCGACTTCCTGCTTCCCTGCCTTCTGAAATACGGAACGATGCTCTCTTATCCTCAGAATGTCGTGAGTCACGCGCTCTGACTTACGGAATTTGTATAGCACACCGGTGCTGGGGTTATGCACCATTTTACGCGACAGCAAATTGGCGTTTAAAGTCCTTGATCTTTCGATTATTACTAGTCGCTTCATTTCCTTCAAAACAACAACAAATAAACAAATAACAGAAGTTGTAGTATTCAGAATAGTCGAATGGTTTTATTATTCGAATGACTCTTATTCCGGCTCTTAAAAAGATCTGAAGACCTACAGTCTCCAAAGAGGACCACTTTCCCGTCTACAAAGGGCTGATCATCGATATCCATGATCTCCGAACCGCTGACTCGGGGCGAACACGAGATGAAAGCAGGTGGGTCGATAATCGTTTGGAAAATGCGAGACGTACATCAAGTTCCGTGTCGCGTTTCACGGCGCAAAAATAAGGCTGAAAAACCGGAGGACCGGTATCGCGTTCAACGTCGCCATCGCTCACAGTCGCTGTTCGAATACATCAGGCTTATCTCGTGGTTCCGTTCATATTTCCACAGATTTACGTCTCTTCTAAATCGGTAAACGGTTCATCCCCGAGGATATCAATTCTCCTGACCACAGTGCAACACCGGGACCCGAACGCGGAAATGATCAGCGAACAGGTATCTCCTAGATGAACTACAGGCTCCTCCATATTTGCAAACAATCTCGCGAGACAATTACGATCTTGAGACACTCGGACAATGTTGTTCGTTGCTGCGAAAGTTTGGACAACTGCGAGAACATAAATCTGAAAATGCTTGAAATGCATGGTCGAGTCGAAATACGGTACCTGAAGGATTTCGGAAGAGAACTGTTCAGTGAGTGTCATTATGTCTAACGGAATAGCAGCTGCTCGTTACGCTAACAGAGTTTGCATGTCTCGGCTGGCCGAGCGCTTTGGCCTCGCGGTAGAGCGCGGATCGACAACGCGGCCGACTGGTTTTATCGTTCGAGGAGTCTGGAAGCGACGAGATTGAATCTTGGCGATGATGCGATAGCGAGATGAGGCGTGGGAGCGAGTCGAAGAGCTAATCTTTCGAGGCAAGCAGCTCATTCAAAGCGCGTGTCTCCCCGGCTAGGTCTTCCTCGAACCCATCAAGAGGGAAAGTACGCTCGAGCACCGTCTTCGCCTTTCCTCCCGTGCTGCGCCACGCGCGGAAAAATCGCGGAAGAATACTAAACGGTCCTGCCAGTTTATTGTGAGAGGAGAACGGATAAAACGAACACCCTTTCTCTCGCATCGTGCGCTTGCCTTTTTTTTATCAAATTCCACCTTTATCCGCGGTTGTTTGTTCGGAGTCGTAAACAGAATCCATTCGCGATGAACGTTGCAACACTCCCGCGCTCGCCAACAGAGAGATCAAAAAGATTCAACTTTCTCGCTGGTTAATGGACACGAAGTCTTGTGACGAGTAAATAGAGAGGATTGTCATTTAAAGAACCGAATAGCTTTCCAAACGCTACACAAAGAATCCAACCACAATAAAGATGTAATACGCTAATTCGTAAAACGAATCGCGTACCAATGTGGGTTCGTGCGCCGCGTAAGTACGCAGCTCTGCTTCTACGCATGCGCGGCAAATGGAGTATGCGACCAAGATCGCTTTCCCCTTTCCGAAACCGAAACTCCTGACCCAACGATCTCGATTAAAACGTCTGGCAAAGTCAGTGTACTGTGACAACCTTTCGTTCCCGATTATTTATGACATATTTTGCCGTTCGAAAGCTATAATATACAACGTGTCACGCGGAATCAACGCGGGGCATTGCAGGATCCGATCACAGACGGCGCTAAATCACCGCACCGCCGGAACCGTGGGTGAGAGATGCGTGTGCACCGGTAACATAAGCGTACGGTGTCCTGTGCACGGGAACCCGTTAAGAAATGGCGGACCGTGGAGCACGGTAGTCGCGGTAACGAGAAGTTACCGATCGTCAATGCGCCCGCAACGGGGTTTTATAAATGGGTACACCGGTAAACGTGCATTACAGCATTACGCAACCACTCTCGCTAAAAGGGTGTACGGCCGCGGATAATTGCGCAACAATGCTCAACGAGACAATGAAATATCGTGTAATCGCGAACGCCGAGAGACGCTGCCGGTGTTGCGTACACAAGGATCATCTTTCCAACGTGTCGCATGGGACGTTCAAACGCCAACCATTTCCTGAACGCACGGCTAAACGACGTATGCACGTATACGTGTTTGCGTTCCGGAGAGAATGTTTCAGAGTAGCGGTCGACTCGTGGACACTGATGGAGCATTTGAAAATGCAACTAACTGTATACTCCTGATCCGAGTTTCTCCACGCGAGGAATATACAAAGTACTCGCAGAAAATTTATATAAGGAAGATCTTCGCATAAAAGTAACGGCAACGATATTTAGAATTTTAGTCGAATTCTTTTTGGTGTCCCCGATGGTTTTGTCCTCTAAGGAAATTAATCGACACCGCTTTTCTAAATTGTCCAGGCTGGACTCTTCATCCGTAACTGTACACTCGTTTTTGAAGCCGTACTCTCCCAGAAACTGGTTAAATCGGTTTGACTTTTTCGACGGCGCTAAATTACGAACCACGAGGGAAATGTTTAAATAACGGAGCTCGCGTATGAATATGTATTTGAAAAGGCGTAAAAGCATCTCGTCCAGGTCCTCCGCTGTAAAATTTCTCCGTCGGATAATCGCGTAGGGAAAATGTGAGATTCAAAGCGGATCGTAAACTTTTTGTAGAAGTTAACGGTGACGACGCGGGAGACGGTGTGCCGAGGTTGACACGCGTAAAGTCGACCGGTCGTGGCAATAAGAGGAGAAAGAAATGACCGGGAACACTTAAACCGGCGAACGATCGCGCGCGATTTACTCGCGGAATTAATTCCTCGCAAGGTAAGGAACGGGTTCCCGCGAGTACGCTCTCGAGATAGCGAAGCTCACGGGAGTGGAAAAGGTCTTAATTAATCTTGCTGCCCACCCCCGTGCAAAAGGTGGCAGGCGAACGGCCCGGTTATCGCGAGGCGTCCACTCGTCCAACGACAATGTTAATTGGCCCGCGAGTAATTTATACATCGGTACTCTATCTGTCCGCCGTAGGCTGCTGAAGCGGAATGGATTGCATTAGGAAACGGAGAGGAGCGTTCTGGACGACTTGTTCGTAAATCACGCAACCTATGAACAAACTATCCTTCCGAGACTAGCCTCGAGAGTATTGCCTGCTGTCCATGCCACTTTGCTTCGGGACTTTCTTTTATTTCGATAATCTTGATGTTACGTGCAATCTCGAATAACAAATTTTACCTCCTGCTTACAATTTGTTGATTTTGTTGCTGGCACCGGTCGTATACTGAAAGAGTTGCGTATTACGAAAGAGTCGCACGTAATTACGTTTTGGTTGGATTACCTGTATAACGAGTTATAACTTTAGATTGAAGTTAGAATATTTCACACGAAAATTTAGAAGAGAAAAAATAGTAACTCGATAAACGAAAGATTGAAATTGATTTAGAAATAAAAAAAGGGAAAGATGTTATCGTGAGATCGGTGAAACGTTAAAAAATATTAAATTCGATGATTTTGCGATACAACAACGGAAGTCGACTTTCTACGAAGCCAATCAACTGCCGCTTGATTTCAACTTAAGAACAGATCCGATTCAATGTAAATACCCAGAAGCGTTAAATGGCTCCTTAAACCATGATCGTTAATCAGAATTACGCTCGTGCGCGAGAGGCTGGTACTTTTGCACAGTCATGCGACCTTACGAAGCAAGTTTCGAGCGTTTTCAGGGCAGCATAGTGCACGTACAGAGCTATTTTTATCGACACGTGTTCAGACCCATTATTTACTGTTACACTTATCCTAGTAAATTAATTTAAAGTGCCTACTCGGTTACGATAATTGATCAGGAATTTTTCGATCAGATAAAATGTGATATATCTTGTTTAAAATGTATCATTTTGCTGTCAAATTATTAAGAGAAAATTATAGAGATGATAGCAAATTAGCGAATAGTTATAAATGATAATACG